CCCCCCCCCCCCCCCCCCACCGCTCCCCCCCCCTCCGGTCTACAGATCTTGTTGCCGTTGCTACCGCGCGTTGCCAAGTGGCCGATAAGCCGGGCCTTGTACGTGAAAGACTACTCGCAGGTGACGACCGTTTTTTTTTTGTGTTTTTTTTTTGTTCATCACACACACTGCATGTATTCTGGGGCGCTTTTTTCTCGCCAGCTTGGCGCTCACTGCAGAAACAGTGATGTTGCGGCGTTCCTCTTGGCGATGTCGGAGGAGGTTGTTGCCGTCGCCCGAGCAGGCTTCTAGTCGCGCTAGGTAAAGCTTCTGAAGCGCGCGTTGGCCGTTTTTTTTTTTTCCATTTTTTATCTTGTCACGCCGGTGTTTCGTCGCAAGTTCGGAATGCCTCCGCAAGGTGTCGAACGTGCTTGCCTTCGAGCACGACGCGCTTCCAGTCGCTCCAAGCGCCTTCGGAGCGCATGTCGGTCGTTAATTTTCCGGTTTTTTTTTTTGTCGTGGTGGTATTTCGCCGCACGTTCGAAACGCCTTCGCCAGGTATCGAACGTGCTTGCTTTCGAGCACGATGCGCTGTACGGGGGTGGCGGCGGCGTGGCCGTCTCTATGGGCAGCAGCAGCAGCAGCGGCAGCGGCAGGGTGCGAGCAAGCGACCACGTAGACTCTTCGAGGAAGGTTCGCTGATGCTCTCCCCTGCCTGCTGTGCGCACCTACAGCATAGCTGGGTATGCAGAACGGTCGACAAGGGCGCTGAAAAGGGGGCAACAGCAGCAGCAGCAGCAGCAGCAGCAGCAAGAAGGCCGTGAGCACATGGCAGCAGGGGAAGACAGCGAGCTGCAGCAAGACGCCGAAAATGAAAAGCAGCAGCGAGGGCATCAGAAGCCGGTGCAGGCTTGTCATGACTTGTGTCGCGAAGCCAAAGGGAATTCGCTCCCAGCAGAACCCCAAACCCGGCGGCTTGTGTGTGTACGATGCAAGGGGAGGAGGTTGGGCAATGGCCCGACGCCCGAGCTTGGGCATAGTAGCCTTCGATATAGAAGCAGAACTGAAGCACCTGTGCCGGCTCTACCATTGGAGAATCGTCGGAGTAGAAAAAAAGGGCAGGGAAGAAAACTGCAATGCTTCGACTGTCTTGTTGAGCCCGTACCCACAGGCGAGATGTCGCTGTGTGCTGCTCGGGAACTCGTGGAAATACGCAGGTAGCCTTCTCTGACGCAATAAATTCATTGCTAATCTATCTTAGACTCCCTTCTTAGATAGAGACGGATATGTTGGGTCTACTAGGAATAAAAAAAAAAACGTGGAATGAATCGTGGCACGGATCGCTGAAGCGGAAAGTGGAAAGCGGACACGGGTTAGGCAATTGCCGGGCTGTGCAAAAAGCTGTAGCTGGTATCTAAACGCGACGGGATTGGGGACCGGGCGTGGACATTGCGCGGTTGCCGTGCAGGAGTAGCTGATGTTGTGCTCATTGCCGCATGGCACGTGGTTTTTTCCTTGTTGCCTTTCTTACCTAAACACAGCGAACTCATCGCTACAGTCGGTGGTCCTCAATGGCGGTAGGTAGTGACAAGAAGTTTCGGTGCCGCAAAAGAGGGCAGTGACGCTATTGCTAATAGGGATTGTACTGAGAAATGTTTTGGTGTCAAGCGATTTCGGTGCCGCCACAGAGGGCATTCCGCTATCGAGGGTACCGTTTTTGAGGACCGCCAACAGTACTGCTGTAACAACCACATGAAAACAGAGTCTTGGGGATGTGTTTTTTATGTCTTTCTTGCACACACAAGTACGGGTGTGAAAGCCACGTAAGCGTGTTCACCTTCTTGTCTGTGCGAGGCCGATCGTAACAGCCGTGCCGAAGAATCGCATCGGTTGGTAACAGCCGAAACGTGGAGAAAAGAGCAATTCACAACAACTAGTAATAGGTTGTTTTCACGACACTTCCTTCGTACAGGCCGGCCGCACCTTGCTTGCCGAGGTCTTCCGTGAAGACGTTTCATCAGACGACTATCGACTATCCTGCACCGACCTTTTCAGACCCAATTGTCCCGCGTGGCTCAAGAGAAAATCGTTCTTCACTCTGTGCGCCGCAAACCTCGCTCAGAGAGTTGTGATGGTGTTTGCTGGTTGCCAAAAAATTATGGATATACCGTAGATTGTGGCGATTGTTTTGGCGATTGTTGTTTCCAAATAGTGGCCACGGAAGGAACTCAGGTGCCGGGTTTTTTTTTTAAGTGGGAACAGAAACTCAACCTACGGGGCTTGAGAACAAGTGCGGGCCCTGGGAGATTCATTTCGGAGGTTCCTTGAGTGCTGCGAAAGAGGCGGTACTAGCTTCAGCACCAGCGTCGTCAGACCTTTTAGTTTGCACAAGCCACCACAACCCCTTGGATGATTCTCGAAGCTCGTCTGTCCAACGACGAAGTCAAGCCGTTTTTGCGTTTTCGGAAAGCTCTCGACGAGACGCCTCCAACGCCCCCGCGCCATTCTCGGCACCTTCACTTCATTTCTTCTGCTGCAGAGTAGACGACCTTTGAAAATCACTCAGGGGGGACATTTCACATCCACCCTTGGCGGTACTCCAGGCGGTTCCAAGCGTTACACGCGCCCGTGGGCGAGAGCTGTTAGCCTCATACTACGTAAGGGGGGGCAGGAAGCCTGCAAATGCTTCCAAATCACGAAAACCGTAGCAGGGCGGATACGTATCTACAGCGGCATGTGCTATAATTCTACGAACATGGTTCCTACGAAGTTCTCCCCACGAGTGATGCGCCGGCACCAAGGAGAAAAATCGACAAATTACCGACGTAACGGTGCTGAACCCTCCTTACTTTCGGTAACAACGGAGGGCAATCAAGATGGGGAGAAAGAAGACGAAATCTTCCTCTGCGATCCCGGTCGGTTCGTCAAACATACACCCAAGGCGTAGAGATTGGCGCCCAAACCAGATGGGACGACACAAAAAAACGAAAAAAAAAAACAGGTGGGTACAAACCTCCCGGTTCTAGACTGATGCCAACCAAACGTATGGCACACATCCAACGTTCACCGTCCCTACTGGCTACGGATAAGGGCACTCACTCAAAGCCACTCCCACTACATGTACCGGTTCACCCCAAAACTGAACCTTCGTGAAACTCCAGTACATGTCCTCGTTGGATGGCGCGCAGACTTTCGCTCGCAAAGAGGCACAACAAAAAAACACAGGCTACTAGTACAAACTGCAAATACACCATCGGTGCAGGCATGCAAACACGGCAGGGGTAGAGTCTTCTTTTCTCATGGGGGTCTACGCCGACTGAACGGGGCTGATACGTCGAACGGCGGCGGTCTGTCATGGGCTGAGGCCGTGCCGGACCCTGATTGGTCGATGCCTCTCGCCATCTCCGACCTCGCGATCTCTATCAAGCGGTCCGCGTCCTGCATGGAAGCGGTGCACTTGGCCAGTGCCTCCGACGTCGCCGGGGCCCCCTGCACCACGACAAGACTTCCCTGAAAAAAAAAAAAATGCCGGGCACCAGCGACCAACGCAAGATTAGGAAGGCAGCGAGTGATCCTGCGGTAAAGGGACTGATCGGCTGTGTGCGCGCGAGCATTACCGAGACGAGGCCGGCGCTCAATCCGACACGGTCGGTACGGGGTAGAGTCCAATCGCAAAAACAAAAAAAGTGGGGGACGGGTGCTTCATTTTTCTGTTCTTACAAATACAAAAAAACATTGCAGACATACAAAACTTATTGGTACTTTTGTGTGGGTGCTTGCTTGGTCCAAACAAAAAAAAAGTTTGGGTTTTGAAGAGGCCAAGTCGTGCCTATCCACACATAGATTTCCAGCATGAAATTCGAATGAATAACTCCAGTGTTGTGCGATATACCTGCGGTCCTGCTGTTCGGTAACATCTGCTCTGTGGGCAACAGGCTCAACAAGACAGCAGTATACCATTCTCGTAAAACAAGTCCAATTTTCGTCAAAAAATGAACGCGAGATGTTAGATGACAAGAAACTTCCGAGGGGCGAAAGTTGGCACACAGAAATCGGCGGCAGCGAGGGAGCCACACACACACATCTCTTGACGAAACCCTCTTCACGGAGCATAGTGCTCAGCGCGGGTTCACGCACCAATTGCAACCCCTGGCGTCCGACACGCGCAGCACCTCGTGCCCGACGTGCCGCGAAGATAAGCGACTCAGGCTTCAAGCCCACACAACCAACTACAGCAGTTACGGACTGCGACGTCGACCTAGCTTGGATCGCGGGTAGGGCGTTCGAGCTGCAGCAGAATCCAACAATCATTGATTCTGTTTTCAGACGGATCGGGATATATAAACCCGAAAGCAAACCAGTAGAAAAATCAGCGCTGACTGCAAGTGTAGCCTCACGACACTAAGGTTGGTTTCGGCTTCAATAGACTTGACATCGGCAACGAGACGCTCTGACAAAGACTGGTCGGCACATACCCAGCACGCATCGCGAGCTAACGTTTTAGCTGCAGCGGAACCCGACAACATTTTCTTAGGCCTTGAATCATTCGGTGCTGACATGCAGCGGCTATGTCCTTGGCCACCACTGTAGGCGCTCGGACAAAGGCAGGAATACACCGGGTAGCCAAGGCTACTGCAGACGCTTGGACAAAAGGCACATGCGTACCTCCGCTAGGTGCAGCACCGCGAGAGCGATGTAAATCAGGGCATCGCCCCCTTCAGAGAAGATCAAGTCGAAGCACCTCCACAGCGTGGTCGGGGGAAGGCTCCTGCACCCCAAGGAGAGCATGAAGTCGCACAGCAGCACCTCCGGGGGGAGGTTGCGGTCCAGGTGCTCGAGCAGGTCCGGCATTCTCTCTCCCAGCAGCATCCTGAGGGAGGGAGAGGAGGGGGACGAACAGAAAGCGCAAAATGGCACTACCTTCGTTGGGAGCAGTTCGGCATTCTCTCTCTCTCTCTCTCAGCAGCATCCTAAGGGCCAGGGGGGGGGGGGAAACTCATAGTCGTGCATGCCGTAGTCGGTAGACCATTGACCTCGCATCCCTACAAAGGCGGGACGGAGCACGCCGGGTTCTCACCGGACCAGGCTCTCACATCACCAAGCGCCAAGCGCCGTGAGGTATTCGGCGAGTCGCATGAAGGGTGCGCTGCACCCTGCCAAGGATGTTCGGTATCTTGTGCGTACTTCCTTGCGTACGGATGACAGCTGCGTATGACTTAATTTACTTTCTGGTGCTTTCACTTCCAGAGACAGTTGTAAGCACCGTGTAACTGCCTCGAGGGTGCTTGACCATTTTAACACAACGTGGTGCGATCATCCCCCTTGCGCGGAGCGAGGGTTTTCGACCCCGCACAACATGATCTACTCGACCACCATTATGGTAACCGCCCAAAAAAAACGGAGGTAAAAAAAGAAACGGTAACCTGGTTGCCGAGTTCACGAAGTGAATTGGCTTGTTTAACAACGTCGTTGCCAAGCGACGAAAACC